TTGTTCGTAATGTATTAACTTATTTTGCTTCCAAATTGCTTCCCTGTGGGAAGGGTCTGGAGACGTCGTGCACTAATTGATAATATTTTTGTGGTGCCATGCTTGCGTCGCAGTGAAACAATTGCTTTCACGAAACTGACGTGGAGATGAAATGTACTGCATTTCTGTTAGTAGCTGCAAGGATGCAGAGATATGGCAGGTAGAAGCAATTTAACAGAAAGCTGTAGAAATAGATCTGAAATAGAGCTTGATATATATATATATTAAATAAACCCCGATTATTGTGTTTTCCGAACTCTTCTCAATTGTGTCCAAACTTAAAACTTATAACGGTGTTTTGAGTGGAATATTCGTCGGTTATATATGTATAAAATTCCTGGAACATTGACTGGCAGCGGGCTGACGTCGAAAATTACTTTTGACCACGAGGATGAAGAAGAAATAATTTCTCGTTGCTTGAATGTACTTGAATTTGTAATTTCATACAGGCCCAATCCCACCGCATGTTTTAAAGAAAGGAAAAGGCCAAAGCCTGGGTATTACCAAGCGCCAATAAGGCAACACAGAGAAGGAATAGAAAGTCATGATACATACATGTCTCTGCGAAGAACAAACGTAAATTCTCCATAATGTTTGTAGTGGATATCATCACTACATTCAATTTGACATCAACATGAAAAGGAAAGAGGAATGTGGCTGAAATTATGCTCGTAGAAGACAAGGAAAGGGGAAAATATTGTAGAATCGCACAGAGCTGATTAATAACTAACCAGCTCCGATAGAGAGAAGAGGAGAGAAATTGTTATCCCTCACACCACATTGAAAGCCTCGAGCTTCCAACTGGTTATTATGCCCTAAGTTGAATGGAGGTAGATCTTTCGAGGCTGTTGTCGACGAGAATCGGAGAGAGGAATATGTCCACGGTTAATTTCAAAAGGAAGAAATTGAATTCCACCACGCCACGTCATTCCCCTTGAGGAAATGACTGGTTATATTGAGCCCTGACGTAAGTATAGGCAGTTCAAGCTCGACGAGAAGAGCAAGTTGATGTTATAAAACCATGTTGCAAAATTGTTATCCCCAAGCCACATCAACAGCCTCGAGATGCAGATTGGTTATTAAAGCCCAGAGAGTTGTGCAGAGTGTAAAGATAGAAAATGATTGAACAGATCATCAACAAGCATGATGAAATAGAGATGATTGAAGAAGATATCCACCACGCCACGTCACTTCCCTCAAGGAAGGGACTGGTTATTTTAAACCCAAAAGTGTGATGAGTAGGGGGAATATAAGAAAAGAGAATAGGATGGAGCATTTGAGAAGTCAGTTAGGTTCACCACACCACATCGATAGCCTCGAGATGCTAATTAGCTTTAGTATGTCGCAAACTGAAAGGAAAAGGTCAACACCAAAAAGGGGTTCAGAGGTTTTAATCGTGGGTGGGAAGGACATCTACTACGCCACACCATTTCTCTCGAAGAAATGGATAGTTATATGAGCCTATATAGATACCGCCGAATGGACCGAGGGTGGTGGAAGTAAGAAAGACTATCGGAAACCTAAGATGTTTATCATGTGGCGTAGAGACGCACCATATTAGCAAAGAATGTAAAAAGTAAGTAAAAAAGTCAATGGAAACAATCTGGGGCTACTGCAAGCAAGCGGAAGCCAAGAAAACAAACAAAGGGATAAATGTAGAGGATATCCACCACGCCACATTAACAGCCTCGAGCTGCTAATTGATTATTGTACCCGGAAATGGTCAGAAATACTCATGGAATCAATGGCCTTGAGTTATTGACTTGGTATATAGGCCTGCGGATTATAGGGGCGTAGTAAAGCTAGGGCGATTAAGGTGATTAGAGAGGATGAAATCCAACACGCCACATTAGTAGCCTCGAGCTGATAATTGGATATTGTGCCCTGAGCAAAAGAGGTTGGAGAGGAAACGGAGAGGAATTGGACAGAAGGAATTGCGAGTAGGGTGAATTCCATCACGCTATATCAGACGGCTTGACCTTGGCTGGCCGGTTCTCTATAACCCGAGAAGTTGAATGGAGGTTGAACATCGAGAAGATATTTGTACCCACAACGCCACACCAACAGCCTCGAGCTGTTGGCTGGTTGTATGAGTTAGAGTCATGGGGCTGATGATCACACTGTAATATATTAGCAGAATGCAATATTTAATGAACGCAATAAAAAGCTAATTGGGGAAAAAGGGAGAAGAGTACCCATCATACCAAGTCAAACAGGTCCAAGCTGTTGACTGATGATTCAACCTTTGAGGACGTCGAATCGAAGTAAAGGTGGCCATAGAGCAGGTTTGCAATGACGGAGAAATCAAGAGATATCCTTCACGCCACATCAAGCAACCTCGAGTTGTTGACTGGTTATATTAGCCCACGAAACGAGGTGACGAGAATTTGTTGAGGTGAAAGAGAAAACGTATAAAGAACTCAGAAGAGTATGAAGAAACTATCACGCCATATCATCAAATTCGAGTTGAAGATTGGTTATTTGTAAACCCAGTTAGTGCGGAAATAGGAGAGGAATGCAAGTTAACAGATTCCACCATGCCACGCTGATGACCTCGAGTCACTTGCTGATTGTATGAAACCCTTGAAAATTAGTTTGAGATCACAACTCTGAATAGTAATTAATGATAAAAGGGAATAGATCGGTTCCACCACGCCACGCTGACAGCCTCGAGCTGTCAACTGGTTATTTTAAGCCCTTGAAATCGGTTTTGAGAATTTGCTGCACTTCGATGACCGACATCCAAGAGGATCAAGGGAGAGATCAGAAATTGTAAATTCCGCAACATAGCATAGAACGGTCTGAAGCTGTTGACTGGTTAATTTACCCTGACCGAGTTAACTAACTTTTTCAGAAAGGGATAAGGAATAGCGCCTGATGAGAAAGCGCGCAAGACCCTCCACGCCACGTCAAACAACCTCGAGTTGTTGACTGATTATTGGGACCCAAAATGTATTTCGATTGCCTAGAAAGCGTTCATGTTAAAGAGAAAGTTCTTTAGCAAATGCCCAAAAAAGTTGTTGGGGGATACTTGTATGAAGAGCAACCGGAAGGAAGAAGCGAGGTAAAGCGGGCATCAAAAAAGTATATCCCCCACGCCACATTGACAATCTCGAATTGTCAATTGATTATGAAGCGACCCTTTAAGCGACTAGAGAGAGAGATAGTGAAGAAGATTTTCAGAGAACAAACATGTTTGAGAAGATAGGATATCCCTCACGCCAACTTGACAACCTTGAGTTGTCAATTGGTTATAACAGTGAATCAAAATATGGAAATGGGAGAGGTTTTCATGCGTATGTAGAGACGGGAACGATTGCTAAATGAAAATGATATCCTCCACGCCACGGCAATGACCTCGAGTCACTGACTGGTTATTTTGTCCCAAAAGGAAGACACAAAAAAGATCCTCTGAGATTAGTTTAAAAGACAATATTGGAAAGAGAGATATATCTGATAATAAGTATGGTTTGGTGAATTGCCTTTCTGAAGGTCGGCAAATTGTTGCGTGAGTTATGAATTATTGTCCGAATGGCTATGAAAATAGCTCGACGTATCCGAGTCGCTGATTCCCTGTGTTTGACCTTCCAAAGGCTGTAAGTTCTTGATAAAGACAAGTATGTTTCGGTGCTAAAGTAGGCACGACATATTTTCATGCGATATTTCGTAGCGACATGATATAGCTAGGGACAATCGTGAGGAACAAAAACAAAAGAACGTTCATGAAAGATACATGAAATGGCTGATTGTGCTGTTCGTGTTGTGGGAGAAAGAAAGGGGGAGAGCAGAATGTGACTTCAGGAAAAGTATAGAGGTAAATTGAGTTTAAAAGATGAGAATGAAGTAGTAAAGAGGCTTGTGAAGAGCAGTGTGAAACTGTGAATCAAAGCAAGAGATTATCTTCTTCATAATTTGATGTGTGCTCTGTACTTCAGTCCATTTTCTTTTTTTTTTTTTTTTTTTTTTTTTTTTTTTTTTTTTTTTCATTTCTTCCCCCTATTTCTTAATCAAATCGGGGATGCTCATTGAGAAAACCGCGAAGTAGTCTGTAAAAAATATCAATCGAATCTACACGTACAGAAAAGCCAACAGTAAATAAGAGCGGATGCATCAATGTCAAAACAAATCAATGCATTGTAGTCTTAAAGTTTCATGTCTTAAAAAACGCAGCGTTTGAAATCTTAAAATGTTAGAGAAGCCAGCTTGACGAAGCGGAAAAAGAAGTCAAAATGAAGCAAAATAAAGATGAGAATGTAATTATCAATTGCATATCAAAATGTCAGAAATACATATAGAAGAAAAAGTTAGATGTCTAAAATAAAATCCACTGTGAAATGTTGAGAGATAGCAGAAAATAGATGCAGAATTGAAATTGTGATGATTTTGAAGCAGAGAATGTAAGTTATACATCATCAATATTGTTTGATACAATAAATTTGACAGTTGAAAATGTTCACAGTAATTTAAACTGTTGACATGACAAGAAGCAATAATTTCATCTGTATCAATGATTAAATTAATCATGCACTGTGCAAGAGAGAGATATTACAGAAGTTTCAAATTTGTAAAAATTAAATAATATAATTAAATGACACGGTGAATTGTTATTATAATATATATAAACAGATAAAATAAAATGTGTTTTGTTCAGTCATGAATGAGAATGAAAACAAGCAGAAAAAAGTAAGAATTGATTGATCATTTAAAATAAACAATAATAAATTTTCAGATGTGATAAAATGTTCAACAATTATCTTTCACAAACACACAAAAAATTTTTTGAGAAAAAGAGAGTATTTGAATCTATCATATAATTAATCAGAGATTGACACCGGAGAAGAAAGGGAATTGAAGAAGAGAGAAATTAGTAAAATAAATGTTAATATCTTTAATATAAACTGTACATTTTGAATAAATGCAGTGAGAAATTGTATTTAATGATGAAGAAATTGAATCATACATCAACATTTCAAATCAAATATCTAAAACTAAAATATTCAAACAGAAAAATAGATAAAAACAATATCAGAATAATTGTTTCAAAAGTTTTAATAAAGAAAGTATTTCACAGCAGAAGAGAAAGAAGAAATAAAAAAAAAAACATTAATGATGATAATAATTGAATGATAAGATATAGTTTATAATTTTAAAAATTGAAATTGATACATAATTATTGTTGATATTCAATTGAGTGTGTGACAATTTATTTTATCAGTTAGTAAATGTAAGCTTCAGAAGGAAAAATTTGACAATCACATATTGCATTGCAATATTTTTTTTAAAATAACAAAATTGCCTTTACTTCTGAAATCTGAAACCATTCAGTCAATATTGTGGCAATAGAAGAAGGCAGTATAAAGTGTAAGAATGAAAATATTAAAAAATATAAATTCAATCACTGTTAAAAATAAATGAAGTTAAAAGGGGAATAGAAAGCCACATTTGTAAATATGTACAAAATGTGAATTGTCATGATTATAACTCTGACCACTGCGTCAGAAAGAGAGTCAGATATACTGATAGACAGCATTGAAACAATAAAAGTTTTTCAATAATTAAAAATGTTGCATTCTGTATAGCTTGAGTGTAGAAGTGCTCAAGCTGATATAAAGAGGTAAAAGAGGCAATTTCCATCATGAATGTATAATAGAAGAACACAAATGAGCAACAATAATAATGATGAAAAAATGCAATGTATGAAGAGATGTGATGAAGAGTAAGGAAGAAGGTTTGAGCAAAAAGATGAGATGATTATCAAAGATGAAAGTGAGAGATGAAGGTCAAAACTTTTCAAGAAATGAAAATGAAAACATTCACAGCTCTAAACAAAGTGATGTTGTGTGAATAAACTGAATATTGTTTTCTGCCCTTGTCAAAATTCAATATTAGCTCTAGAAACACACAGAAGCATGAAAAAATGCATTTAAAAAGAAGTAAATAACAACATTTACAGCAAAATTGATTTATTTGATGTCATTGTAAAAGACATTTTTTAAAAGTCATTTGATTCATTGTAGATGTTTGTGAAGCTGAAAGTAGAACTGCTGTAGATAACACAAAGTGTTCAAAATTGCCATTTCAGCAGCTATCTATAGAAATTAGCAATGCATGTAAAATGATGAAGCAGAGTTTCTAAAAGGCAAAAGCTGCTTACAAGAAGCAATCCAGCGTCAATTTCAACATATAACTTAGCACGTTATAAGACGGGTATATATCCGCAGATGATCAATAAGTTTTGAATCAAAAATATCAGATATAAACACGAGATGATTACTTGTGGATTCAGAAGTAAAATCTTCAATCAGAACCATCAATGCTGATATGAACAGAGAGATCAAGATAAATATTCAAAGAGGTTATTGATATAAATGAGATGATGAAAGTAAAGAAAAAGAGAGGACAGATAGAAACAGCAATTCTGAAAGCAGAATACAATCTGAAAAGATAAGAATTGATTAAAAGATTGAAATTTCGCCGAGCGATTTTTTAAAATGATGAAAGTAAGAAGTAGAAGTTGCGACATGTCAAATTCCAAAAAAAGTGAAAGAAGAAGAGGACATAGAGAGAGCTGTGAATGTCCCTTTATATACCCATTCATTCTCGCTTGACTGGAGTTAGTGATAAGTGAGATTCGTGAACTACTTCTCCTTTATCCCTTTTGGGGGTGTGAGTCAGGGAAAAGAGGGGGTTGGGCAGTGGAAACGTGTGGAAAGAGGTTTACAAGGCAACGGTTGGGCTAACACAGCTGTTGTGTTGTTCCCAAGCCGGCAATGGAGATGGACAGCAGTCGAAGTGTTGTTCTAAGGTTTGACATGTAATTTATGTGTTCTATTTTGAACTGGCCATTTCTGATACACCAGATGTGAGGGGGGGAGGTGTTTTCTGCCTCTAGCGGTTTGACGATAGAAAATAAAATCCACTGTTGAAAACTTAGAAAGTCCAAAATGGAAATAATTTACACGAAGATCCCGTAGAGAGATCTTCAGAATAGAAAAATTGATATCAATATTTCGTTGAACTTGACTAGCTAAAGCTGCAAGCTAGAACTCACTCACATTGAGCGGACTTGGGGATAACAGAAATGTCAGGAAAGAGCCATAGCATAGTAGACGCCTACGCGGGCACGTTGCGGCAGAGGCCAGGATATAAATAAAAAAGTTAAAGGAATCCGCGAAATGTACTGAGAATCCGGTCTAGTCGATCAGAAGGGACTAGGTAAACTCGCCAGTCAGATGAAATAGTCAGAGCTAGGACATGGACTTTCCAGACCGGTATCTTTTGAGAGATGGAGCTTTTGAGTATCTGATGAGAAATTGCATGCTCTGGAACTCAATGGAAAAGAAACGGAGCCCATCTGAAGTTGATCCACGCCTCAGTTGTAAAACATACACGATTAAGAAAATAATTATCACAAATAAAAAATCAGAATAGCCACAAATGAGAAAGATGTTGTGTCTGTTCTCGGATAAAATATCTTTCTCTTGTCGCGTATCGATGAAAAAAATCAAAACATTGAAAAAGGGGGAAGATGGGGGAAGAGCAAGGGAAAAGGCAGATAGAAGAAATTCGAACAAGAAAGATGGAAGAAATTCACTCATGAAACTAACAAACTTCAACTTAGCATTGTTGAAATATTTTGAAAACGCATTAGAAAAGTAGAATTCAGAATAAAAGGGAGCTTGAGAAACAGTGGCTTCGCCACACTCTTGCATTCGTTCCCGTACGAACCATTATTAGCTGTTGGTAAACTTCCAGCCATCTGGTAAGTCTGGACAATGCCGAACGAACGATGATCGAAAACCGAGCCCAGGCACACCCACGGAAATGTTGAGATAAGGAACCTAGCGCAGGCTAGTGCTGTCGCTATTACTAAGGTTAATCCAGTCTTGAGCAACCCGGGCCAATCTCAGGGCGTTCTCCTTGGCAAGGGCACAGGCGATTTCGGCCTGTTTTGCAGCCTGTAATGCCGCCAACATGGCACTCTCGGCATCATTGGCGTGGTTCACAACCTCAACGAGGATTTTTCCGAGCTATATTTGTTTCAGAAAGCGGTTAGGATTCCTTTTAATTAAGCGGGAAAGGGAGTCAAGCAAAATGGATATTAAAAACATGCCAGGAAACCAGGGACGGGAAAAAATGGCGCGGGCACTACCTTAATAAGTTTCTCCTTCTTGGCTCCATTAGGCTCGTCACGAGCTGCATCCAAGACATGAATGCACAGAGCACTGACATTTCTGATCCCTGAGAGCGCTGGTGAATCTGCCATCTGTGAGGTGATGGTAAGAGCATCAGATGTTTGGCGGGAATGATCCACAGTGGCGTCTTGAGAAGGTGTGTTCGGATTGTCTTCCACGCGTTTATCGGCACGAGATCCCCGGGCATGACGACTCAAAGAACGTTCCGTAGGACTTCCGGTGCTCAATTTTCCACTATTAGCAGCTTTGACACGCTCAAGATCCTTGCGTTTGGCATTGGTAGAACTGGATGCATTTGCATCTGCATTTGCATTTGAAGTTGCCGAGTCATTCTTTTGTTTCGTGAAAAGGCCACGGAAGTTGGATAGCACACCACCTGCTTTTGCAGAAGGCTCCTTGAACCCAGAAGAGTTACGGACTGTTGAAAGGGAGCGGTGTTTTGTTGAACTCTCTCGATTTTTCTTACGGAGAGCCTCATATGCATCCTTCTGGGTTAACTCGGCCGATTCGCTCGGCGCGGCGACATTGTTCAATTTCGACTTGCCGTGGCTTCCATGTTCAGCTATGCGATGGCGAGATGAACGATGAAGTAAGCGCTTCGAAGAGCTGCGATGACGGACAGTTGAGGAAGCGTCACGTTCTTGAGACAATTCATTTTCATTCTTATTACGAAGTTGATCTGTAGATGTATGCGAGTTTAAGGGGCTAAGAACCACGTGTTTCCCTTGGCATCCGGGTTGGGAATACACGATATCAGTGTCGTCGATGAGGGTTGTGCTTTCAGCAAGAGGCGACGATGGTAAAGCCTTGTATCCATGGCTAGCCGCATCCGCTTCCGAATAACGAGGAGGTTCCAGGCGACTATTATTCAAGAATGGATATCGCTCGTTGAACACATCAGGAGACGTTACAATCCCATCATCGTAGAAAGGATTAGTGCCAAACTTCTTCCCGTGTTGCTTCTTTGCGTAGGTAGTATCTGTGCTTCTAGCCTTTTTGAGTTTCCTATCTCTTGCGGCTGCAACCTTGTCTTCTGTAGGTGAAGCAATGGAAGGGTTCAAAGAGCTGTTAGACTGCGAGTGCATGAGATACTTGGGTGTGAAACTGCCAAAAATGCTATCTCCTGACAGTCTCTTCGAGCCCGAGAGACGCTTGGCACGCTTTCCGGCATGATTTTGGGATGACTCTCCCATCTCATTGGTCATATTCCCCATGATAACTTTGTCTGCCTCTGGAGAGATACGAAGCTGAGGTCCAGAACGGCCTGCTGCTGCCAACTCCTTTGCTCTGTACCCGTTAGGGAGCGCCATTGACATGGGAAAACCATTCCCACGCGATTCCGTAGGGTCTACCTCGTTGGCAATAATAATTTGGCTAGTTTTTTGATGCCCAACTCCTTTTTGATCCCGAAGAGTTTCGTCTTCATAAATTGTACCGGTGTAACCTGAAGTAGAGTTGCGACCAGTTTTCACGGCAGGACTAACGGGTAGCGCATTGGCATCAAACTTGTCCCTTGCATGTACCATACGACTAGGAATAGGGATGGAGCTGCGGCGGCTGGGTGATCTGATTTTCTTTAACCCGTCAACTTCTCCAGTGGCAGGAGGAGTCAATACCTGTGGAGAGATACGGGGAATTTTCGAGGCTGCATTTTCGCTTCGAGGAGTGGCGTAACTATTCGAAACTTCCTTGTCGCCCATCACATCGGCAACAATTTGATTTTGATTATTGGTGGTTTCCGGGCTCGGGCAATTGGTGCTGAATTCGAAGGAAAACTCCCGTAAGCCACTCTGCGGACGAGAATGGGAAGAATGTTGGGGAGACGAAGTTCGGTAGCGGTTGCGAAATGGATTAGATTTTAATGAGATATTCTCATTGTTGCCCAAGGGTGGATTTATAATCTTCGATTCACTGTTCACCTCCGGTGGCTGTGTTCCTACCCCAGGGTTCCCCGGTGAGATCATATTGGGTAACACATCCGAGGGATTGTCGTGAGATGCTTTCTCCATTGGATCATTTGGCTCAGCTGCTTGATAAATAGTACCCAGTTGAGAGTTTTCGGTAGGCCAATTTGACGTGATTCGCAGACGACTGTGTCTTAGACTACTCCTGGGGGGAGTCAATGGTTTTGATGGAGGTAGAGGAGGTGGGTTTTCCGTTGGAAAAGGAGATGCTGGGTGATCATTGTTCTGTGAAGAAATATTCTGGGGATTTTTTTGCGCTTCAACACGTCGACAGTTAGACTCCCACGACTGGGGCGGTTTCCATGGAGATAAAACTGGCCACCTCTCTGACACCTCAGGTCTTCCTATCTGATAATGGAGAAGATGAGTGTCCTCTTCCTCATTGGAACTCTTAGAACTACTCGGAAACTCCTCTTCGTTATCTGGAAAATCAGACTCTTCTGGTTCAGGTGTGCTTGGAAGAGGCTTTTCAATAGGTCTCCTGTTACCAGTCGGGGCAGAACGTGTCTTCGCTCCAGAGTGAAGACTCGATTTTCTCTCCTAGCAACAGTTAGAATAGACAGCGAGAAAAATAAATAAGAAAATAAAGAAATAAAACGTATAAGCATGACGACATAACAATCCCAATTTCGAGAAGTACTTACTGGAGGCGTAGGAAACGGCCGTGTTTGAACTGGGCGGATAAATATGGGTGACAAATTGGCATTTTTGGCGACACGACGAAGCTATGTTTTTGCATCCAAAAAACATTAACACAACTTCGCGTCATACTCGTTTATCATTTATTTTTCATACCAAAAAAGAGAAAAGAACGAGAAAGAAAAAAGGCAATGATAATACAAGGCAAGCACTGCCAACATTGAAACCACAAAACGCACCTTTTTAACCTGAACTTGGTTTGCATCATTCTCGCGAGACGGACGAAACGCATTTGTCGCAGCCAAAACCCAACGTTTAGATAATGGCAAATCCGCGATGACTGCTTTTTTCGAACGCCCGCCGTTCTTTTTATTCTTCTTCTTATTGGTGCGTTTCTTCGGTGGTGTTCTGGTCATCTTGATGTAAGATTCCGGTATTGCCGTTGCAAACCTCATAGACCCAGCTCGCTGAGCCAGTGCTGAGCTGCTTGACGCTCTAGCTCGAAGTTCAGGGCGGAAGAACTGCGGCGGAGGAGGATCATGGCGTCTTCGCAGCCCAAGGCTGTCGAGGGAGCGCTTGGCAAGGGGGAAACGGGGTGGCGTCGCCATGCCTGCCTTGCCGGTGATGGGTTGGTGGGGACTTACATGCGTAACACACGGATGCGATGAGGTTTATATGAGGAGGGGGATGGTTGTGAAGAAAGGAAGAAAGTGAGTGAAGATTTGTGTGATTTGTGTGATTTGAACACTGAAGGGAGCTCGGCGCAATGCTTGTCGTCTCATGATGACTGACTAAAGGGAATGAACAGGATGCGGTTGTTACAGGCACATAGAAGGTGAGCACCCATAGAGTGTGGGGAGCAACAATATTAAAGCTCAGCTAAACAGCATCCCTACAGGAAGTCAAGAGAGATTGAGAGCAAAGCTAAGTTTCATAGTAGTGATGAGAAAAAGCTTTGTAAGTCAGTAAAAGGAACAGAAATATTAAAAAAAAGCAAGATGTAATCACCATAAGACATCCAATATATCAATGATTGAAAGCAACATTGACCATCAGCGGTGCAACAAAGGACAGAAGAAACAAAGTGCAGTACAGATAGTATTGATGAGCTTTGTTGGTTATCCAGTTGAAGACAAAAATAACCAATACAAACTTGCGACTTTGCCGCCATGTGGCGTTAATATAAGACGATTGCACTATTACTAGCATGTCAGACCGGGGTAGATATCCTGAATATAGCCGGGGGCAAGCGTCCAGAGTCAAGCTTCCAGGTTGAAGTTAGCAAAGGACGAGATCAAAGTGAGAAAGACTTGAAAAATGCCTTATAATAAACCTCAAGGGCAATATAGAACGGAGTTTTCGGAAACTTCAGACTTGGACGAGATCCAATAAGTGAAGTACGGGGCGTTATAAAAGGATAAAACATATAGCAACATGGATTGCGCAACATTTATCTTTTCGCCAAAATAGAAATCAAATGGCCCAACAAGTGGAGTTATCCTTTAAGTGATGGTAGAGAACCATCTCCTAAATGGTTGTAGTAGCTGGGCAGGCGATGAATGATGTCCACTATTAGTAGTACAGTAGCAGAATGAAGAAAAGAACATGTACCTGTAACGCCCGAGAATTGCTCCAACGAAGAGGGGTGTCCGAAAGCCACCGAGGCCAAACCACCTAAAAATACGATCAATAAAGACAGAAACATTCCGACTCGTGTAATTAGTATCAACTCGCTAACATCGCCCGCTCATTCACCACCCATCTCAGGAGTTTTCCTTTTGGACGTTCGTGGGGGGGTGTGATAGTCAGAGCCAGAACCAGTGCTGAGATCTTCCACGATGGGACCTGAACCATCATCATGCCACTCGCTCACCTCCCATTCCAACCTCATCGTTCTATCAGCACTGATGCCCACCCCGCGCCGACTCTTTCCAACCCTCCCCAACCGGCTCCCTTGCATCATCTCCTCGAACCATGGGATGCCATTGACGACGCCAAACCGACGCCTGACAGAGACACGTGGTTCTATGAATCTCGGGCCAATTTGTGTAGAGGTCGATGCAGTAGACAAAGCTGACCGGCCCGTAGCAGAATGATTGGCAGGGGCAGAAGCCGCAGCGGGGGTGCCATGGCCACTGCCAACCTCCGTATCTGTATCCGCATCTGAGGGCAACAGATCCAAATCCTCCAGTGCACCTTGGTCCTCGCTGAACAAGCTGCCTATAGTCACAGACATGAACTCAGCTTCCTCGGGCGGGTTCTCGCTCCAGTACGACATGGGCGTGCCGCAGAAGCCACAGAAATTGCGCTGGGAATGCGGATCATTGGGCGGGATGAATGTGCGGCGGATGGCAGCGTGTGTTTCATCTGGGAAGTAGGATGTTGTGAAGGAGTGGTACCATTCTAGGGGCACGCGGAGCCATGCGGTCAATGGAGCTGCTTGGTATCTCCCTAGATGAAAAATATTAAGAGGATTTTGGTTAGCGTATCTATGCCCGATTTTGTTCACATTCATCTCTCAGGACAAAAGACAAGGGGATGATGAAATGCACATACGACGGTCACTGCTTGTATCAAAATAGACCTCGGCTTGCGTGACAGCGTTGCGAGGGATGACAACAGTATATTGGATTCGGCCACAAGAGCAGGATCCCCGAAGCGTCCGGTCCCGATCCATGCTGGAATTTCGAAGTACGTCAGGATGCAGCCAGCTCCAGGTAATCAGGGGAGCTCTCGGGATAGATGATGTCGATGTCAAGGATGGATGGAGGTGTGTGAGAACAGAGAATGTGCTGGTTGAAATAAATTATTCCAAGATTACTCAATGCTCAGCCAAGATGACAAGATGACAAGACAGTCAGGACACTCCATCGCCAACTGTCCAAGGATCAGCCCAGGGTTGTGCGAAAGTAATCTACGTCAACATTGGCTGAAACTGAAACTCTTTGGCCACGAGTTGGCCCAAGAAAAAGTTTAAGCACGGCCATTTTAGTGGCTGTCATGCTGCCAACTGGTCCCCCGCATCTTGGATTCCCCGTCGAGGGAAGAGAGTGAGAGCGAGAGCGGGCCTGATAAATGCAAAATTCCATCTTCTATGTGATTTGACCGGACTCTATAAATAACGAGCTGTTAAAAACATTTTCTTGTCCTGTCTTGTGCTTCTATCCTTGTCGACTCTTATCGCCCAATCCAATTTTCATCCCTCCAGGCCTCGAAGACATGCGCATGAATAGTATCCATCTCCATCTAATTATACTCGTCTTTTAAAGCTATTTAAATCCATCCCTTCCGAAAACCTGCCCGCGAGGACATCAGATTATCAGATTATGCCCTCCTCTCTACGTGCCCAGGCGTCCTCGTCTTCTTCCTCTCCTTCCCCAGCTCCTTATTCGCCCCCGACATCCATGTCTCCCTCCAACCCCTCCCTCTCTCCTTCAGTCCGCTCCAGCTCCACAGTCGTCCAAACATCAGCTACCAAAAGCAGGAAGCAAGACCCCTCCTCTGTATCCATGACATCGTCTGCATCACCTCAACCAAACCCTCGTGCGTCTTCACGAACAACGACGGAGAATGAAAAACCCCGCCTGACAGAGCAAGAAAAGAAGAATAACCACATCGCCTCTGAGCAGAAGCGCCGCGCCGCCATCCGGGAAGGGTTCGACAGACTGACTGAACTGGTTCCGGGGCTCGAGGGCCAAGGCCGTAGTGAGGGCGTGGTCCTCCGCAAGACCGTGGATTTCATGCAGCTGAAGTTGCAGGAGCGGAGAGAACTGATGGAGGAAATCGAGAAGAGAGGCGGTTCTCCAGAAGACTCTTTGAGACGATAGAATATCGGAACAAAAACAACCAACATTTGATACCTATCCTTTATTACCTGCTATTTTTCCTTGGCGGTTTTCCTTCCTCAATCACCAACGACATTTTCTACGGTTCGACTGGGCGAGATACAGCCAATTCCGCAATGGAGAATTCGGAATTGGGGAGTTTTGAAAGATCCAGTTTTCACCCTGTTGATACCATGGCCGTGTTTTCAGACCAGGGGCAGATGCATTTCTTCCGCACGAGAAACATGATAATGATAACGACCTCAGGAAAAACATATATGTGAAAATAAATAGGTTAAAAAGGAGAACAGGGATGTTTCGCCAAGTTTCGAACAATTTCTCTTCCGTTTGGAAAATGCACGTCCCGATCACCTAACCCCGGTCGAAATATTAACCAAGGGATGTGCAACAATCCAGCAGTCGAGAAGATCGAGAAAGCTGGCCAAAATGATATTCCGCGATTTTGGGGGTGCGTTAACATGGACCTTACTCAAAGCAAGTGGGGGTAGTGGACAATTCAATGGCGTTTCATCGTTTATCTCGCGCGCGGGAGCATGTATTGGTTTGTCATATTTCTTTTCATCATTTTGGCTCATGCATGGAGCTTTTGTATCATCATATGCTTCTGTGTTCTTTTTTTTTTTATGATACTGCATGTTTGTATAGAACATCTCCATATATATTGGTAGCGCACATATCGCAGAGACCCCTCTGCGGTACATGTATTCTTCTTTCCCTTGTTGTCTAAGGCATTGATCCATACATTTATCAGCATGAAATCATGAACCATCCCCTGCCTTGCACATTTCGGCATCCCAGCGCTGTGTAGCCCATCCTACGTCGTATATTACAAAACCTCGACTCGGGAACATCAACGCTCAGAAACAGTTAGTTAGCTAGATATCAATCGGATACGAGATACGGCAAGAATCCCCAGACCAAAAATCTACACACCGCCTAACGGCCCTTCTAAATTGACCATATTAATAACTTCGGCAACCACTGCACCGAGCTCCAACTAAGCCCCGCGCAACGAGGTCCAACACTCAACAAATTCGACGAAAAATAGAAAAGAACAAAAACAAGCGAACAAATTTAGTTCTTCCGACAATAATTAAATAAATCAAAGATTTTTTTTTTTTTTTTTTTTTTTTTTTTTTTTTTTAAAAAAAAAAAATGCCTGAATCCACCTCCAAAAAGCCCCCTTCGAGCCCGCCCACCACAGACTCCGTCGCCAAAGCAAGCGCAGGTACAAGCGGGGGACGCACGCATCCCACCCTCCCACGGCCGCCCGCGCTCGCACTCCCTACGCTGATCGACCTCCGATCCAAACGTGTAATCCTCGCCTCCAGCTCCCCACGCAGGCACCAGATCCTTTCCTACCTCGGGTTACCCAATGTTGAAATAATCCCGTCGTCCTTCGCCGAGGACTTGCCCAAAACCCTCTCCCCGCTCGAATACTGCCTAGAGACCGCCGTCAGGAAAGCACAGGCGGTCTACCGGCAGGAGATCGACAATGAGGAAAAGGGCGAGCCCGCCCTGATCCTCGCCGCGGATACTATCGTCGTGGACCCCACGGCCTCCGGCGGCGCGCAGATATTGGAGAAGCCCCGCTCCGAGGCGCAGCATATTGCCATGCTGAAGGCGCTGCGCGATGCGGGCGACCATACGGTCTACACGGCCATGGCGGCGATGGTGCCGCTGAAGAGTGCGCGGGATCCTGGGTATGCGCTGGAGACGACGGTGGAGGGGTCAATTGTGCGGTTCGATTCGACGGTGACGGATGAGCTGATCTTGGCGTATGTGCGGACGAGGGAGGGGGTGGATAAGGCGGGCGGGTATGGGGTACAGGGGCTTGGGTCGATTCTGGTGGAGAGGATTGAGGGGAGTTATGATAATGTGATTGGATTGCCGTTGCGGGCTACCTTGAAGTTGATTGAGAAGGTTATGATGATTGCGGATGACGAGGAGTTGCTAGATGGGGAGGCTGCGGAGGTGGATCGGGAGGAAATGGAGTGAGTGACTTTCTACGGAGAGGATGGTATTTATTCTTTTGATGTGTTCTAGTTCTGTTAAAAGTGCCTGATATTGATATTTGAGGCCTCGGGGAGTAGTGGCGTTTTGGGATTTTGAAAGGGTATTTGATTTCAGTCCCGTATTACGTGTCGTATGGTTACCAATACGGATGGGGTACAGATAGATAGATATTATTATTTTAATGTCCAGAAAAAAGAAGATAGTGAACTTTTAGAGTATCCGGGTGAGGCTGGCATCTAGCGAGGAAAAAGTATTGTACGTGAAGAAAAGCGGCTGGGAAAAAGACGGGCCAAATGAAGCGCCGATGTGGAAAGCTAGAGAAAGAAACCCGTCAAAAATACCTTTGAGAACGAAAGACACACATATGAGAAAGATAATCAATGTCGAAAAAGGTAAAATAGACAAGAAAGATCACGCTTTCCAAATCCGCTTGATAGCTTCAGTCATGCCAATGTCATTCGTCTCGAACTCGTACAATCCAACTGCAGTTACCAGGGTCATGATGCGCAGGAGCCAGTCGAATGCCTTCCTGGCCTTGGGCATACGCCATGCTGGGATATAATCTATGATGCAAGCCCTGGATTCCATTGAAGAAAAAGTATCGCGTCAGAATGCAAAATGGATCCCTGAATGTGTGAACGCAGACACAAGCGGAATGAATACGTACTGGAAACCAATGTGTGAGTGCATCAAGAGGGTGCCGCAGATCACCGCATCCATGACAGGGTAAACGGATCCACCGGCAAAAGGGGCAATGGTCAAGGGGACGAGAGCCACGGCGACAGATCTAATTTCACAATTATGTTAGTTTCCGGCCAAATTTTCCCAAAATACCCGCTACCCTCCTTCGATCCCTTTGCTCGGGGAACAAAACGCACCTTTCAAATGTCCAGTGATAGCTGCCGTGGGATGGAGATGTAGGGGGGATAGGAGCCGCATCGTTCACTAAATGAATATCATGGCAATTAGTATATAATCTAACGGCTTAGTCCACGAGAGGGGCACTTCGTCGTTGGCTGCCTAGGATGCAGTGGACGGATTGCGATACACTGAACGTACTTGTTCCCTGAATAGTTTCTGCAATAGATAGATATGACAATTAATTAGCGCCCTGTCAACGACCAACCAATATGAAACACTAGCTATCCGCTCTCTTTTGTTTCAACCATCTCGCGCAACCATCTAAGCATGAAGCACAAGAAAAGCACGGAGCACTCACGTCGCGGGGGGGGTAAGAGATCTCTCCGGCTGGTCGCATGGAAGCCAGCAACCTTAACCGCAGCATCTCTTCGCCTCGTCTGGAGGAGACTTGGCTTCAGCGTTGAAGCGATTGCCAGAGGAGAAACAATTGAAGAGGTCGCCCGAGATGTGGAATAGAAAGCAGTTTGTTGGGTGGGAGTGGAACGGGCAAGGAAGCTTCTTCCCAGCACAAAAGCTGAGGGGCGCACGATGGATGCCATTACGGATATCCTGGACAAGACTTCCTTCTCTGTCCTCTACGGCTGGCAGGGGAATTGAGGGGAGTGATAACAAGGTTCCACGTTCCTTCTGACAAGCAAGCGAGACGAGATAAATGACTGAGTTGATCAGTCAGCCTAATAGACGTCATGTGATTGGTCCGCTATAAAGAGGAACAAGTGCAGAGGACTGGGATATTAGAGAGCTAAAAAGTGGACGACATAGCTACTACATAATTAAGAATCGGAGCAGGAAAGAAGCTGCGATTGTTAGAGGGGAAGAGAGTGAAATGACAGCGTTTAGGTATGTTTGTTACTTCTATTTCCCGAGGAAGATTTTGAATTGCTTCGGATTGTCTAATTCCTTGGGAGCAGCATTTTGCACACTCCTTGCCAGATGGATCTTAAATACTGCTATGAGTATTCAGCTGTCCATATATTTGCCCTCTATATGTTATGTACAATGAATGGGGGATTGTTAATAAAGCAAATAATGGTTTTATAAGATAAGATTCCCAAACTGTTTTCAAATGGACAGCCATTCTCATCCTTCTATCCCATCCCTATACCATTCTCATCATTATATAAATCAAACCGTGCCTCCCACTGGCAACCAGTTATTAAAGCCGGGGTTCTGAAATGTTTTATCATCATTACTAAGAACACGTTAGAAAAACGCGATTCATAAGATTCGGACATTACTAAATATATATAAAATATGAAAAAAACAGGAAAAAGGGATGTGATTGTCCTGCTAAACAGGAGCACAGAGGTGCAAAGATAGGGGGAAAAATCTCAACAAACCTTCTGGAACTTCAACACAGCCTTCCCAAAGTTCTCACCACGGAAGATGCCAACCAGGCCTTCCGCTGCATTATCAATCCCCACTGTTTCAGAAATGGCGGGTTTGAATGATCCTTCCTTAATCCACCGCGAGACAGTCTCCTTATGCTGCTTTTCCCACTTGTCTCCCATCCCATGATCTCCAACAATAAACCCACGCATGGTAATCCTCTTTGAAATGATCATGAATATATTCTTAATCCCATACCTCTCCTGTGGCCTCAGATTATACTGCGAAATCATGCCGCAGGCCACAATGCGACCAAAATCCCTCATCGCATCAATGGCCGCTTCTAAGTACTCCCCACCGACATTTTCATAGTAAATATCAATCCCATCCGGTGCGAGGCGCGCCAGTCCATCACACGGCTTCTCCTTCTTATAGTTGAACCCACCATCGAATCCCAACTCATTCAGGATATAATCCAACTTGGCATCCGTGCCGACGCTGCCAATCACCTTCAGACCCAAATGCTTCGCCAACTGGCCCACAACCTGGCCCACTGCCCCGGATGCAGCAGAAATGAAGATCGTCTCGCCCTGGACTGGCTTGCCGATTTCCATTAAGGATGAGTATGCGGTTAGGCCGGGCATTCCTAGTGGGCCTAAGAAGACACGGATATCTTCAAGGCCTAAGGGGTTGTCCAGCAGCTGGATGGCTTCCAGGGCTGCTGGTGGCAGGACGACATATTCCTGTACAGGCAGAAAGCCAATGATGTGATCATCTGGTTTGTACTTGCTGTTGTTGGATGTCAGGACTTTAGCAACAGAGCGGCTGTATATGGGATTTCCAAGCTCAAAAGCTGGGGAGTATGATTTGATGGTGGAATCGCGCATGCGACCACGCATGTATGGGTCGAAGCTGGTGTAGAGAGATTGAACAGTGATTCCATTTTCTGGAGCTGGTGTGGAGGGATCAATTGGGACGTTTTGAATGGTTAAGTGCTCTCCCGGCACGGGGTATCCGGTGGGGATTTTGGAGAAGAAGAGGGCTTTGTTTTGGGGAGACATTTCAGATGCTGTGTCTTTGTATTTGCGGGGAATTGGGTATGGCGTTCCTAATATGGGTCACGTATCTGGTAGCTAGAGGTGGAGGCGACTGTAGTGCAGAAAGGCAATGTTGATTTGGTTCTCAGTGCGACGAGGGGCGCATTCATGTGGATTCTGGCTCAATTGAAGGGAAGCTTTATGCCCTTTATACATGGAATTGTGGAAGCACATATGCGCAATTACAAATGTGGACATTAAAAATATGGAAGCCCCAAGCCATAGAAACAACGGGCCCGGTCTTCTTTTCCCATCTATCCTACCACAGCTCTCTCTATTCACCTTGGTTTCCGAAATGGCCACCTGCGGATTGCCATAGGACTCAATGACATCAACCCGCCCGGCCCCAGTACCAGAGATGCCGCCCGCAGGAATATTGCCTCGGCCTATCTGGTACGTCCGGATTGTCCGTACAGCAATTACCGGGAACTCACGTCCCTCATACATTTATCTTTTACTCATGGCTGTCATGTTGATAATTTTATAGCCGGCTGTGCCTGAGTTTGTGAGGTTATTGGTAAGGTTGAGTCAACGGCAGGTACGGGATGACGAATAGCTTTCGCTTCCCTTATCAATTAATTTGCTTGAGAAAAAGCATAACGAAAAGATGTGAGAAAAAACAAGCAACAAAATCTCTCCCATGGTTTTCCAGTGCCAACTGGAAGAAGCTTCTGTCTCATTGGCCACATTTGATTTAATGCCAACGCAGCTTGTGCAGGAAGTTACAGGGATTCGCCTCTGAAGATATCAACTTAAGGGGCTAATTTGTTCAATTTACGATTTCTCTACGAATGCCGCCTCATCTCATCTAGCAGTTTCCAGTGTATTCCGGCGGAGAATAATTGAACAATACGTGACTGAACAAAGGAAACAGGTCTTTTGAGTATATCAGCGGATAAAAATCTCCATACTATACAATGAAAACGCAACATGTCTTGGGCCCCTTCCCCTTCTCACCCCCATGTTAATCTAGAGATCATGAAACACAGAGCAGAAAAAAGGTACAAAAGTCAAAAAAAAATAAAATAAAATAAATAATAATAATAATAATAATAAACAACATCTAGATAGCGACGGTATTAGCATAGAACAGAGGTGTGTTAGAACCCTGGAATTGTGGGAAGAACTTTTGTTTTAGGGTCTCCCTTTCTATCATTCTTACTTTCTTGAATCGTTTGTTTTTACATCTATGAAAAGTTCCGGCTCATATCTGCTCTGATTCGTTGGTAGTCGAGCATACCCTCAATGCTGCCCACAGCACTGATGGCAATATCTTTATCCCATAGTTTCCGCTGGGCGAAGCTCATGACATCCTTCTCAGTGATTCCGGAGATCACACGCTCCACATCCTCCGGGCTTAGGCGGCGACCGCTGGTGACGATTTGTCGTCCGATGTCTTCAGCGACGGCAGTGGTGCCGTCAAGAGACAGCAGGACAGAAGCTCTCAATTGGGCCTTCGCACGCTCTACTTCAGCTTCGGTCACGCTAAATGACAAGCGAGACCATTCGCGGAGGGTGAAGTGGATAAGATCGTCGAGTTGAGTGAGATTCTCGGAGACGAGGTAGATACCCCACAGACTAAAAGTGGGATCAAAGTTAGCATGCACCGTAGAATGGAAGGGAAAAAAGAAAGCAGAATGGCTCGAACTTACCCAGTGTCGCTGTAGCTGGTGGAGAAGCTCATGAAGCTATTGGCCAGGTTGTGGTGGCCGACGAAGTGGCTCAGTTTGCTTCCAAGGAAAGGGGAGTTACCCATAGCACGGTCCCAGTTACCAACAATGGCTTGGGTAATCAGAGCGGTGAAATAGTCGTCGTCCTTCCAACTGACTCCCTCGACAGCCAGAGCAATGTTTGCAGTAGGGATAGTGTCATCACGGAGGCGAACTTCGGAACCGATGAAGTCGGGTGTGCGCTTCTGCTCAGCGGCGACGGCGGAAGCAGCAGAGCTAGGAGGCTGGCTAGGGAGAGAACCAAACTGTTGTTCCGCCAGTTTTACAAGTTGATCATGGGGAATCCCACCAGCACCGACAAGGACCATGCGGTCAGCTGTGTAATTTGTCTTGATATAATCCACCAAATTATCACGGTTGATGCTTTTGATGTTTTCCTTGGGCCCAAGGATGGTCCGTCCAAGTGGCTGATTCTGGAAAGCGGTCGCATGCAAATGGTCAAACACAACCTCTTCGAGTTGCTTATCAACCTCCTCTTGCTCCCGAAGAATGACATCCCGTTCCCTCTCAATAGCGGCAGTCTCTAGTTTCGAGTTTTGGAGAATATCCGATAGGATATCGACGGCCTTGGGAACATCGGCGTTAAAAGATTTAGCGTAGTAGACAGTATTTTCTCGCTGCAAGAAAACAACCACGCCATCAGTTTATGATACTTCTTTAAATGGAGTGTTTAATAACGCCACATACCGAGGTATAGGCATTGAGGTGTGCGCCCATGTTCTCAATTTCAAGTTCCAATTGATGTTGCGATCGCTTGTTGGTGCCCTGTAAACTGATGAGCAACGAATTCAAAATAGAGGACTAACAGTTAATTCTAGTGGAGTGGCCGACCTTGAATGCAAGATGCTCGAGGAAGTGTGCGGTTCCATTCGTCGCATTGGTTTCTGCCCGGCTTCCCGCATCAATCCACACGCCAACCGTCGATGTCTGGGCCCACGGCGAGTACTCAGTCGCAATCTACAGAATATTAGCATCGACTTATCTCCATGGCAGCAACAACAATGCCTCACCGTTAAGCCATTTGAGAGGGTTGTCGATTGGGTGGCAGTGGGAACGGTAACGGGGGTTGCGAAGCCTCTCTTCAAAGGTTGAACGGCATTCAAGGCTGCGCGGCTACGCAGAGCCTGGTTAAAGTGCAAAGCCAGTCGCCGGGAAACCATTATGAAGGAGGTAGAAGGGAATAGGGAGCGGTGCAGGACGAGAGGCTTGGACGGCGCGTAGAATATTCAGCGAATGTCGAATGAAGTTTGAGATTCCGGGAGAAGGCAAATTATGCAGAGCTTCCAAGGTCACATGATCTGTTTGATGTCCCGTGATAGAAGTTTGTGCTAACCCAATTTGAACTCTACCAAACATCATATAGAAAAAAATAACCCGCTTCTGTGTAGTTATTTCAGAGTGACTTACACTGATTCTAAGAAAAAGAACTCAGCATTGAATTCATTTACGGAAAGTGTAGAACATAAGTCCTTGCACACGCTAGATTTGAATAAAAATCTCAATACTCTGTGCTAACAGTTTCAATTTGTATGAGAGTCGATTGAAATTCTTTTGCTTCATAGCCACTCCATCACAAATCTATATAATTAATGCTTGAATACACAGATTAATATGATTTATGGCTATCTCTGAGATGTATTTTTATATTATATATATGCTAGACTGATTATAAGATTGTATATACTACTAATGTGTAGCCGTGCATGATAAAAAGTGGTGTTTATATTCTGACCTATCATATCTAAGAAATAATGACATGAAAAGAAAAATTGATTCTATCAAAAGATAAATGATGTATCTACCTCTCTTAATTACACCTGTTTGTTGACTTGATTAGTTGTTTAGTTATTCTCATTCAAAGACTCAAACAAAAAGACATAGCTGCGGATTAGCGCAGACAGATAATGTGGTTCTCTTATTGGCTGGGTTACGTAGTGACTATTGTAGGCTGTGAATTGGAAACAATAATTATGCTGACTGAACAGAGTCCGATTTCCTTCTAGATGAGCGAATTCTGAGCTCGCCGCTACAGCGCTCTGAGCGCTCTGATGCCCGTTCGATCATGCATACATACTACTATATACTTTTAAACGCTATGCACCAGACCACAACCTTTCAAAGAATATTCTTCGTTACTGCGCCGCATGAGATTTCGTCTCCTGTCAATGCTGTCCACTAAGGATCAAAAGTCAAACTGAAGGACATCGAAAGAAACAAAACTTGGAACTATTGCAGGCAGAGCTTGTTGAGTCCATTGTTTCCATTAGAAATCATGCTTCTTATTTTTTCTTTGTGTTGGTATGGGCGTTTGCCATTTGATTGGGGTTCTAAAGCTATCATATTAACTTATGCAAAGGCTGAATGTTCCAATCTTTAAGTCTCCAATCTCTCCATGATTTGATGAAAAAACTCAAAACATAGAGTAGTCTGCATCTTTGTTGTAAGCACTACTTATCCTGTTTCATTGATCATTGATCATAAGGAGGGGTGGTATCTTTCTACCAGTTAGTTTATTTCAATCTATCATCCCATTGACCAAAGTGTTGTTCACCACAGCTCCAGGCCGTGGTGTGCTTTTGACGAATGGAAAATCGTCTTTCAAATGCATTTTTCAACATCCCTATATCTTTTTTTCCAGTTCAGCATCCACAGCAAACTCAGCTCAGGGGTCGAGGAACCTGAGCCCGAATAGTTTGTCATACGTTCCAGTCACTTCGACGCCATATATACTCCTAGGCCATCGTCGAGATTAACATTCTTTAAGACAGTATCATAGTTTTCCCGGGGTTGGGCCTCGTAATCATCCTTCCGCCCGCTGAAGGTCAAAAGACACCAAAGGGCGTTGATACTTTGAGGCGCGTTGCCGACCCCCAGAGGACACACATAGTGGCCCACGGGTAGTCTAGATAGGAATGGTTCTCGAGCCACTTCATTCGCACTGCTATTCCTGTGTATCCGCCCGCGGTTCAACAGAGTTCAGAGAATTTGGCAAAATTTTGCGCATGACACAAGTCCAACAAGCAGAAGATAATATTTCTTAAGTTGACAATTAACAAAGGAATCTCCTAATCATAGGTAGATGAATGAAAATCTTTATCAACTAGTTCTGCTTTTGAGAAATCATATACCGCGGTTCCAACCCAGGGGTAACCTCAACTCGATGCCTTCCTTTGGTGATTGAAGAGTTAACTATTTAACCAGATGATTCATCCTTTTAGACAAGCAGAACATTCAAAATATCCCTGTTTACCCCTATTTAAGAGACTCACTCACAAACCTTTGCACACTGTCCAGCAACGACATATCCTCATAAAAACCTAAAGACTTCGCCCACGCCGTATCAAAATTCGGCGACCACCCCTGCACAATCCGGTTGACGTCTTCATCGGGCTTCTCTTCCACAAGAGCCCTCTTCTTCGTCCCACCAACCATCTCCAAAACATCCAACATCTTCTGAACTGACACCTTAATCCCCGGCAAATTCACCGACCTCTCTTCTCCATCCCGTACGATGACGTAGGCATCTGAGGCATATTCCGCTCCGTAATGACAAACCCAGGCGCCGTGGGGCCATACACCGCGAGGGACGAGGTATACACGATTTTGACGCCGGGCATGGTCCGGCGCAGCCTATCAAGGATATACTGTGTTGCGAACAGGTTTACATTCATTCCTAGATCGAAGTTGGATTCGGAGCCGCTGGACATGATCCCGTGGAGGATGTAGACGACATCGTAACGCCGCGGGGGTGAAGCGCCGGAGTCTATGAGGGAATCCACGGCAGTGCGTGAGGGCAGGTCTGTTTGTATGGAGGCTACGCAGGATGCGTGTTTGCTGGCGCGGGTGGGGATGGGAGGGGATGTAATGTCGGTTATGTTTAAGGTTGTGTCGGCTGGTGGGGTGTTGAGTAGGGCGGTGGTGAGTTCTTAGCCGATAAAGCCCCCAGCCCATCTTATTAGGATTGAAGTTAGCATTTTATAGATCTGTAGTCCCTGACTTGAGCCGCACATCAATTTTATTTATATTTTCTGTTTTCGCGTTTGCCCTCCCAAGAATATCGGGGAGCGGGGAACTGTTTTGCCGTTCGCGGAGTAGGTAAATCGATAGAGCGTGTGTTGCTCTACATATTGACGGCTCCCAGTCAGAGCAGAGATTGCCTCTATGAGCTCCTAAAATACATCTTGGGCATGTCATCCTTGTGGTGAGAAACTAATCCCATTTCGCTTTCATAGCTTGTTCGAGCTTATATCTTGCAGACGCTAAACGCATTGCCGGTCTTTGATTTGAGATAGGAAGCAACATGCCGTCTGGGATAGTAGTCACTTTCGCAGATGTTTTCATCCCCGCAGGATTATCCTTCGATGAAAAAAAACAATGTCCAACATAACGGTATAATGTACAATGCAATACGTGACATTTCAATTGGCCATATAAAGAGATAAACGGGCAGAACCGGAACTGGGAAAAATCCGACATTTTTGATTTACTCAAAATTCCAACAAAATCAAGAGAAGAAAAAAGGAAAACAGGACAGGAAATTTGAAACGTCATACATTGATAGTATTAACTGCAGCCCACAAAAATTTTTCTCTGGAAACGCACTCAAACGCCGGAAATTTCAGATCATATTCAGGCAAGAAAACGAGAGAAAACCAATAAAGAAAAGTAGAGCCAGGAGAATAAGGGGCAGGGCAGAAAAATCAGCAAATACCTCACTTGCTGCATCCTTAGAGAGGTCACCGGACGCAGAGAAGGGCATTGGAAGGAGGTGCTGGGGCGCTTCGTCTGACCGAGGATCAGGAGTGTACACTGTGTGCAGCTGAGGCAAGGGAGAACCGTCGGCAGGTCCAGGGGAGGTGATGACGGACGTGAAGGTAGCCATGTTGCGAGATGAGATGATGGGATGCTCTC